TTATGTTTATGAATTGTGTTATCATTTCCTTTGTTGCTGTTGTTTTAGTATTTGCTGAATATTTGTGCTTGTACTCTTTTTTATTGTGATGCAAAGGTTTATCATTTTTCTTTGAAGTTACCCTGTGATTTCATTTTCTCCCCAAGTTTAGAACACTCCATTCTATCTTGCAACTCTCTTGATTTCCACACCATTTAGAAGTTCTGTAACTGCACAGTGTTTCCCCTATTTTGGGTTTGTAGTTGTCCTCATTTGCCAAGTGGTATCTCTGGTTCCCTGTTTATAATCTTGTAAGCTTATGTTACTTTGGATGTGTCCATAGCTGTGGTTTCTGGATTATGTCATCTTGTGTATTAATGTTCAGTTTTACATATATGCTCTTTATTATGTTGAAAAATGTCCCTTCTATTCTCGTTTGCTGAAAGTTTTTATCAGGAATGAGTGTTGGATTTTATCAAATGCCTTCTCTGTCTTTTCTGCTATTTTTTGGTTCTCTGTTCAAAGGACTCCCTTTAGTATCTCTTGTAAGGTTGTTCTGGTTTTAACAAAGTCCCTTAATTTCTGCTTATCTGGAAATCTCCAAATTTTGCCATCATATTTGAGGGACATTTTTGTTGGGTATATCATTCTTGGATGAAAATTTTTCTCTTTCAGGGTTTTATATATACCATCCCATTGCCTTTGCACTTGCATGGTTTCTTCTGAGAAATCAGCAGTTATTCTTACTCGCTGTCCTTTGTAAGTAACTTTTTGTTTTTCCCATGCTGCTTTCAGGATTCTGTCTTTGTCTCTGGTGGCTCTCACTCAGTAAGTGAAGTTGCAGGAGGTGTGAGTGTAGTTGTGTCATATGGGGACTGTTGCTGTCTCTCACTCAGTTAGACAAAAATAACAATTGAATAACCATCAAAAAAGTAAAAGCAAATGGACAAAAAGCACACTGCATAATAACACAGGAACGATAACCAAAAGAAAGTAAAAGGGGGGAAAGAAACACACCACAATATCTTGGGAGAGGGCAATAAGAGAAAAAAGGTAGAGTAGGAAAATAATGAAGAAAAATAATGGGAAAAACACAAAAAGAAAAACAAGGAACGGGGTTAACCATGAGAAAGAAAAAAATTTGGAACCAGGAACAGGGAAAAGAGAACAAGATGAAAACTGGAACCTGGGTAGGAAATAATGAAGAAGAAGAATAAAAAGGACAAAAGTAATAATAATAGTAGTAGTTTTAAAACAGATAAAAACAAACAAACTAAAAGAAAAATGAAAAAAAAGTCAGGGCAGGGCACCCAGTTTCCCTCGGAGCACACAGACTGGGATGGAATTCCTGCTGGCCTAGAAGTTGGGTGGGAATGTGGGATGGCTACACCTCTGTTCACCAAGAGGGTGCGGGGTATAAGAGTAACAAGAGGAATGCTGCACTTTTCCAGTCATCTGCATCCGGAATGTCCTTGGCATTCCCAGCAAGTGGAACCTGTTCTTAAGTCCCTGGAATCTGAGAGAATGCTGTCACTTTAAATATCCAAAATGGTCAAACTGCTTGTAAACATTCAAAATGGCTGCAACCTCCAGACACAAAAGTCCCTAGCTCAGCCTGCCTTTTTCTTCACTGCTTCCCCTTTTATTCCCCAGCCACCAGAGCAGTCCTCCGTGCAGTCCCTGGCAAGCAGGACTGATTTTTAGGTTAATTCTTAGGTCTTAACACCACTCAGCAATATCCCAGCTGTCTGTGCCATCAGGATCTCTGACAAACTGCAGCTCCGTATTTCTTTTTTTTGGTGTTTTCATGCAAATTCTTCTACTAGTTGGAGTTTAGTCCACTTCTATATCCTTCCCTTCAAAGCTCTGGGGTCCAGGATTATCTTCCATATCTGTGTTAATTGGTTCTCCTTTTCTTTGTTGAAGAGGGTCTGTCCAGTCTTTCTGGCTATTCCACCATCTTACCCTCAAAAACATATTCTTAAGATGTTAATACCACCCAAAGTGATCTATAGACAACATAATCCCAATCAAAATTCTGAAAATCTTCTTTACATAAACAGAAGAACCAATTCTCAACTTTAAATGGAAAGGCAAGAGGTTTCAAATAGCTAAAGCAATGTTGAAGGAGAAGAACAAAGTAGGAGGACTCACACTTCCTGATTTTAAAACATACTATACACAGGGAGCCATGGTGGTGCAGTGGTTAAGTGCTTGGCTGCTAACCAAAAGGTGATGGTTCATACCCACCAGCTGCTCCATGGAAGAAAGCTAGGGCAGTCTGCTTCCATAAAGATTTCAGCCTTTGAAACCCTATAGGGCAGAGTTCAACTCTGTCCTATAGAGTATGAGTTGGCATTGCCTCAATGGCAATGGGTTGTTTATTTTTGGATTCAGCTACAGTAATCAAAAAATCCTATTGCTTAGATTAAAGACACAGCTCTAATACTCGCTCTAGAATAGGATTCTTTCTGAAAAAACCAAAGGGGATATTTGTATGCATAATTGCAGCAAACGTAATTATCAAAACTCCCAAGAAATTCCCATTTAAATATTTTGAACTTTGGAGAAAGGATATCAAATATTTAGATTTATTTCTTGTTTAGTAAACAAACAAAAAATACTTTCATAAACTAAACTAAAACTAAACTCATTGTTGTGGAGTCGTATTTGACTCACAGCAACCCCTCTTTGAATTTCCGAGGCAGTATCACTATGGAAGTAGATTGCCCAGTCTTCCTTCCAAGGAGTGGCTAGTGGTTTGAACCTCCAGCCTTCTGGTTAGCAGTCAAATACCTTAGGCCCTATGCCATCAGAGCTCCCTCTACAGTGATACAAGGTGGAGTAAGGAATTCCTGTAGACACTTGTGTCTCAACTTCTCTACTTAAAATAATAATAATAATAATCTTGGTACTGGTATAACAATAGACATATAAATGAATGGAAAAGAATTGAGAGTCCAGAAATAAATCCACACATCTGTGGTCAACTGATTTTTTACAAAGGTGCTAAGTCTATTTGATTGGGTAAGACGAGTTTCTTCAATAAAGGGAGCTGGAAAAATTGAACTTCTACCTGCAAGATCCTTGCCTCACATCATACACAAAAACAAATTCAAAAAGAATTAAGGACTTAAAGCGACTTTGACAGGACGGGATCGGAAGGAGACCGGTAGCTGGGAGCTGAGCGCTCAGAGCCGGAGTGTGGGCAACTGAGCAGCGGCTCTCGGCACCAGCCTTCTTCGTCTCGTCAGCCTGGGCCTCTGACTCAGAGTCTGACAGTTGGTGGCGGTAGCCCGCGCGCCCCGAGGGCGCCTTGCTTCACCTGTGCGTGCCACGTCCAGCGCGCCCCGCCTGGTCGCCACGATGAGCAACGTGCTTTTTCAAGATGTATTGTTTTGTCTTAACAAACTATCCTTATGAGGCAAGGAATAAAGTTTTACACGATCATCTTTGTGATGCAAAAGGATTTGAGCAATGAGCTGAATACCAAAACATCCCCAACAACCAACCAGGCACCTGGCCCAGATGAAAAGGCGAAAGCTGGAAATACCAAGAAGGCTGAGAAGGAAGAGGAGATTGATACTGATCTGATAGCACCACAAACAGAGAAGGCTGCTCTTGCTATTCAGGGCAAGTTCCCACGATTCCAGAAAAGGAAAAAGGATCCCACCTCCTGAATGGCCAGCCTTCCCCTTCCCCTTGCTCCCTTCTTTCCCCTTCTCCACAGCCTAACTCCCATGTATCTTTGTCTCTTGGTCCCTCCAGCCTCATATTTTCTCTGGCCCCCTCAAGCCAACACAGCAATAGAGGCACAAGGAATGCGGGAAGTTGGCAGCCTCTTGCCTAAGGGTGCACCAGTTTCTCCTTGGGACAGAGCACTTTGATCAGTACCTATATCTGCCTAATGAGTTGAAGAGCAAGAGGCTTTGAGACTGAGAGAATGTCCCCAGACAATGTGGGAAGGAGGGAAAAGCCTTCAGAGTAGGGTGTCAAAGGGCACGGTATATGCGCTGTTCTGCCAGTTGCAACAGCGCATTTCAGGTAACGAATTTTCCCCCTTCAGATCCTTCTGCACCACCACCACCTCTAACTTCCCTCCTGTGAGCTATGAGCTAAACCACAGGTGGAGACCAGAGCCTCCCTTTCCTTCTGTTGTTATGAGTCATTGAGTTGGACCCGACTCATAGCGACCCCTCCTTGGGTTGCCGAGGCAGTATCACTATGGAAGTAGATTGCCCCATCTTCCTTCCAAGGAGTGGCTGGTGGGT